GTTTAGCATATGTTTGGTCAAGTTATTTTGATAAACTGAGTGGATTTAATAAGTGTTACATAGTTCAGTATATTTAGGGTAGTAGGCAATGTCTTTGAAGGCCCTAAACCAAAAATAATAAATCGGCTCTGTGCGGGGTATATTAGTGAACAATGACGAGACATCGGTTTTCCATTGAGGATAAAAGTAGATACGATAGTACGTTAGTACGTTTCGGATTCTCATTCCAAACCGTCATCAGACCGGACAATGGAAGCACAAGGAGTGCGGTATTTCGAGTAGATAGTTACCGTGCGACCGCATACGTACTATAATTAGCAGCTCTCGTGATCACCGCTGAAGGTCGGAATTGATGGCTTGTCAATCCACGTCCGAGAAGCTAATAACCGCGATTTTAACATCCATTTTGGATGCTGGGGGTGATAATTACTCGAAAATTTGGCTCGCTGGCACTGGAATTGTTTGTCCTCGGCCCCACCCCCCTATGTGACCGATTTTGCTGTCCAGGCAGTCTCAGCACAGAATATGGGGCCGGGAGGTCACTGCGCTTGTTTATGGACTGCAATCTCGAGAACCATGACTTAAGCAGCTCGCGCGGTTGTCAGCCCTTCCTAGGATTCCGACCGAGCTAAACTCGAAAATATGGCCCAGTCCCGTCAAATGAGCCGCAACCACCTGAGAGGTAGCGTCATTCCTCCTCAAGGTCGCTGCGTTCTCGGCCATCCTCGTCCCGATAAAGTTCCCTGTTTCTCCAATGTAGATGCTTTGCCCGATTTTGCCTCTATCGACAATCGAGGTTAACATGCCTTAGGGCATCGATTAATTCCCAAGTGTCCTTTAGGCTGCGGTGCCACGCCATTTTGTGTCGAATCGGCCTGAGCATTTTGGCCGCATATTAGCGTCGGCTTTGTTGGAGGTGCCCAATGAGTTACAGCAGCGCCTTGCCGAAGCGAACGTGGTTTCTGATTTAATCACAAACTGCCCTGTGGTATTTTCACGAGCATTGAAAAATTGTTGCACAAGAAGAGTGCTAGCACACTAGGGAGACGTGCTAATAACCGATTAGAAAGTATTCCAACGAAGATCAATGAGCCATATCGTCATTAACATGAACACATCGTGATCTTAGAAGGACTGACCGATGAACAATGATGACAATGTAAAGGCCATATTGAGATTGCAACCGAAAACCTAACCGAAGTGAGACGGACGAGACTTCCCAAACAAAACCTTGTTCGAAGTACTATTCATAGGCCACAACATTTCGTCTACTTAGTTTTCTGAGATCCTACAAATCAGTGGCACAAGTTATGATTGAAAAAAAGCCTTGAGTCAGACACATGACTTCGTGTCTACAAAATCGGGAGACCGAGTATTTCAAATCCACATTTTCGAATGACTGCTACCACCACGGTAAATATGACCACTCAGCAAATCGGGAAAAGCTCAAATAATTACGCCAAAAGCAAGGAAATGCTGTCACCAAACGGACAAGGATTCTGGCTTCGTCCCAGTAGATAAAAGTGGTTCTTTCGAAAACTTCAAGCAATCCTGACTGTTACGACGAAGTTCCGAAGAGAGGGCCAAATGAAACCAAACTGAGGCTATAGAAGTTTAACTCAACATTTCTACGGAAACTGAAAGTGGATGCGAGAGCAACACCCTGCCTGGCTAAATCAAGACTTGGAAAAGTCCATCTCTGGAGGAATTGGGGCTCGTTTGGTTGATAGAGGCTACTAGGTAGAAGTCAAGCAAACCTCGGTCAACGGATATCTGTGAAGGCAGAGACAGTGGCTATACGGTTAGCCAACCCTGCCTTGTGCAGGCAGAAGGCGTTTTTACAAGTCCTCCAACCCCTCTGAACCAAGCATGTTAGTTCCCGAATCCCACCACGAAACATAGGCAAAACTCACGGTCATAATTCAATCCCCTAAATCACCTTCTCATGACTACGGTGCACTGACGGTTTTAACTCTCGCCGATTTACTATAACTGACAGACCTGAGAATAAATAATTGAAGAGATACTTTCGGCGAATTCGACTTCTGCAAAAACTCGCATTGTTTGTGTCCAATGTTTGAAGAAGGACTGACAA